GAAAAATTAGTTGAAAATGTCATTAATTGGGACTTATTAATCTCTTTTATACTTTTTGCTTATTGAACTGCGCAAACTTCACAACCCGTATGTCACCATTTTTTCTTATATATGACCATGAAGCCAGACAACCCATTTACCCCAGCTATTCCAAAGATTTATTAGAAGAAACTATATTGTAAAGAGTGTATGAACTTATACATGAAGTTCTAATAATTAGAAGCCAAGCTATAATGAAAGTAGTATAGAAACAAAAGACTATTAAGGCCCACCACGATCGAAAGCATTGAGTAAGTTTTGGGTTTGAAATAGAGGAAAAGGTTCTCCTAGAGGATGCAAAAAAAGATATTCAAGGAGTAATAAATTTGCCCCGAAGTGTATTGGCCCATATTATGTTCATAATAAACTACCCAATGATGTATATAAGTTGAAAATGCTAAAGGTAGAGTAATTTCGGCTCCCTTTAATCTTAGTTTGTCGAATAAGTACTATAAGTGTGAAGAGTCAGAAATTGAGGATATAGGAATAATGTTGTAAATCAGTTAATAAGAAAGGTCAGTTGCGATAGTTGTGTGTGGGGTTAAGAAGTGAACAGCAAGGAAAATTTTCGTAAAAATATGTGTGAAAATTTTTTTTAGATAAAGTTTTAAGAGTTTTCTTCTTTTAATATAATTGTTGCCTTGTTTTGGGTATAGAAGTTAGGTTGGTGTCTCAATAAAGTTTAATGAGGGTATATCAGATTACCACTATTATACAAAGCCACAGTTTGGGTTTGATTTTTCACAGGGCATGAAACAATAGAAATAGAAGAATTGTTACTGATAAAATCAATGATCTCATAATGTCATGAGAAATGAAAAAAGGAGGCAAAAATATAAAACAAAAAAAAAGAACTAAAAAACCCTCTTATCTTTCCATCAAAGAAACTTAAATATTGGATAAGCCTTGGGGCAAAATAGAGCCAAGCTTGTAAAGAAGCCTCTATCAACTGTAGATAAAAATGACAAAAAATTGAGCAGAAATCTTTAAACAACAGGGCCGTATTGAAGATGAGATTATATAAAGATAGTCCCAAGACTGCACCCAGAAAATGTGTACCAGGTTGGGTTCGGATGATGGTTCGGATGATAGTCCGGAAAATGTCTTTAATTTTTACTTTTTTCTTTTTATTAAGACTTTATTTTTCAATTATATCGATAATATAAAGCAATAATTAATACAATTTACAAGACATATCTAATGAATAGAATAATTCAAATAATTTCGACATTATAATAGTTATTTCTTTTTAACCATGTGGCTTGTTTTCTGTGACGTTCTTCGATAATTTATGCACACTTTTTACAATTGATCATTCCTTATGCTCTTCATTTCAAATTAATCAATATTTTTTTTTCCGAATATTTGTTGACTGTTTGAAATTTGATGAAATAAATAAAGACTCTAACTTGTCTATCGATAGAGATTCAGATTTTTGTATCTTTCTTGAAATATTTAATGTCGGAAAGAAGTTGGCAATTATTGTTAACGTTACTAATGATAAGTTGAAAACTTTTCAATAAATATAATATGCTTATTAGATCTTCGTTGCTACATATTTTGAATAAATTCTGAATTGTTATTAATTAAAATTTAAATACTAACCTAATATTAATATCACTTTAGACGATCGAACATTGCTTATTTACACATTTGGCTATTATAGCTTCAACTTGTAACTCATAAGCGACGAAACTATTTGGCGAAGTGGCATAGGTAGATTTGATATACCTATTATTTTGTTTAGCTAAGTTCTAATTTGATGTTTTTTTGCATGTAATTAACGAAATAAAGCTTACAATATAAAATACATGCTTATAACAAATTTTGCATTGCTTTTATTTTTTACAAGAAAAAAAAAAAACGAAAAACATTATTGAGTATTATAATTTAAATAATGATAAACCAATGACAATAAGTGATTTTATTTTATTAGCTAGATGACGTACGTATGTAAATACGTAAATTTGGTTCTAGTTCCGAATGTTCATACTGTTCCGATCTAGCTTTCCGGACTATCATCCGATCCCAACCTGGTACACATTTTCTAGGTGCGTAAGGTACAACGCATGACATACAGTTGCAGCCAAAGATATTGTATCACCTGGACAGAAGTAATAACAATAGAAAATTGGTTTTTTTTTAGAATAATAATATACTTTCATAATTTTATTATAAAATAAATAAAATAGATCAAAATTCACCACCATCTTTTGCTTCAGTTATATCTTTGCTTGAAATTGGATTTCATAATTTTATCTTGCATTTTTATTACTTATTGTGACTCGTTTATTAGATCTTATTTGTGATATTTAATTACGAGAATCAATATAGCTAAGATACATATACTGTGCAAGTCACCCTCTCACTATACTGTATCGAGAGTCTATTAGTAAATTCACATTGAGAGGCTTTTTATATAGACCGCTCTTCATTTTGACGAGAGATACAATATAATGAGAACTCACTATAACAAGAATCACTTATAGTTCTTTAATAGATAAGCAGATATAAAGAATCACTTGAGATTTAAATAAACTACAGTACCGGACAGCAAAAACCATACACTTTTTTATATATAAATATAAAAATGCTTATAACTTTTGAACAAATAACTTTAAAAAAAATCTGTCTTACAGATTTGTTGCTTTTAGTCTAAGCTACAATTCTGTAAGACAGATTCTTATTTTTATTATAAATTTAAAAAGTTTTTAGTTTAAAATTTATAAATTTACATATAAAAACCAAAATTTGGCGCTTATTATATAAAAAAAAATCATTTTTATATTTTTTAACCAATCAAATTTTTGTTATACAAAAATTAGCCAATCAGAATCATTATAAATTCTCAAATTTGGCGCTTTTAAAAAAAATGTATGGTTTTTGCTGTCCGGTACTGTAATAGTAGCAAACGTAGGCGGCTTCCTAATTTAAAATAAATTATGCAATAGTAAATATCAGATAAATGACAATATTTAAATATTAAATAATAGCTAATTTTGCAATATCATTTATCATTTACTAAACCATTGGATTGAGAAATTAAATAATGATTAAGATACGCTTGAACTTAATTGTCATTTTAATATGTTAAAATTATTACGATATACAGTAAACAATCTATAATATTTTATATTTGCCAATTAAATAAAACTAATGATAAAGATAGTGTCTATGTGTAAATGCTATAAGTTTAAATAATTTAAACAAACAAAGTCAATGAATATTAAATAGTTGATTTAAATTCACTGATTAATATAAACCTTTATATTCATTAATTTTATTAACATAAATAAAATTAGGCTAAATGAATAATATGAACTCAAATAGTTTAAGCACATCCATTGATAGATCTCTATAATCATAAATAAATAAGTGAATAAAAATGAAAGATGAATTTTTAAAATAGAATACAGTATTTATTTATTTCGATTTTGTGAAAATAGAACAATCGTTAAACGGTAATGTCGATAAAAGTGTTGCTCAAGCATCAGATGCAATATTTTAAGTTTATCATAATACTTGAACATCAACTGGTCATAAATTAATACATTGAGAAAGATACGTGAGCATAATTTAATTAAATATTGCTATAATGATCGAGCCACAATCACTATCTAGTAAACATGATATTACAATAAGAGATTCTAGATGATTGTGAGATACACGACTAAGAGTATGAGCTATTAACCGACCAATGACTGACCTATCTCTAATAGAATTCTCATTAAGGAATACTTTTTTCACTATTAGAAAGAATTGTTCTTAGTTAGTAAAGACGTGTTATAATAATTTAGAAAAAATAAGCATTAGTTAATACCCTTTATTGTGTTTATAACTAAAAAGAAAAAATAAATACATGTGTACAGTATGTGTATATCGATATTATTAATATAGCGATAGACAATTTATATCGATATAAAATTAAGCATGGTTTGGTTTATTTCATGAACTGAAAACCATACAAAACCATTTGTTAATAACTCATAACACAAATATATAGTATATATAGTATATTAGGAATTTCCGGTCGTGAGTTTGCGCAGAATTAAAATTTGAATAACAAAAATTTTATGAAAACTATCTTTGAGCTTCTAAGCATGCTTTATTTATAAGCGCGAAATAACGCACACGGGTGTAATCTCGAATTACGGCCCGGATTAATCCCAATGCGGACCGTGAATAAAATAATTCCTTGGATGATATTTAGGATTCTCGCGTTATTTCGCGCTTGATTATGATAACTTATTGCTACTATGTACTATAGAAACCATCTATTTTTGAATTAATTTACCGTATGTTTGCGTAACAACGCCCACCTGTGTTTTATTTTGAGTTATGTGCGTTTTTCGTACGCGCGCGTTATTTCGAGACGCGAATAGGCGTTATTTCAAGGCTGCATCCAAGAATTTTATACTACCGTATCCGTATTGGCGCGTACTACAGTACTAGAGTTTGGAACCGGTTTTATTTTTCATATGTTAAACCCGATTTTAATCGGTTTTAACCTATAAAAAATAAAATCGGCTCCAAACTCTAGCGCGTACTTACGCGCATCTGCGCGTTATTTCGAGACCCTGCGCGTTATTTTGGGACGCGCATGCGCGGTAATTCGAATCATTTTGATAAATTTGGGTTACAAGAAGAAACCCTACTTTTATTAATGAACTTGGCCTGAAAAATTCCATCAAATTATGTAATATGGTACATCTAAGGGGCGGGTTATTTTGGGACGCGCATGGGCGTTATTTTGAGTCAAAAAAAACAATTTTCAAAAAAATGAGAGTTTCAAAATAGCGCGCAGATGCGCGTTATTACGGTATAAAGTCACCCAATACAAAGTAATGCAGTAAATGTATTAATTTAGTTTTATTTGGTTTATTTTATTAAATACATAAAATATCCAAAATGAAAAAAAAAATTAAACCATATTTTAAGACGCAATCATAATTATAATAAATTTATTCCTGCATCCAATCATCATTATCTTTAGCTTCTTCACTATCTTCACAGTACAACACCTTAAGAGCTTTAACATATTTCGGTAATTTATATAATTCACCAATGCTCACTTGCATAAAATCAAAACTAATTCCAACTTTACCGTGATCATCAGTGAAAACAGGTATTTTTGGATACCTTTGACTAAAATGAGTTAATAAAATTGATTGTGCATTCATTCTACAAAAATGATTATTATGTAAGTTAGTATACTTCAACTTAAATTATAATTTAATTATGCTTTAATATTAGAAAAAATTATTTATTTATTTATTTATTTAATCAATTACCGTTCTCCAATTTTTACAGCTTCTTCAGTCGTACTATGTTTTTTATTCAAAGCTTCTTCAAGCAAATCATTTTCAAAGGTTGCTTCATGAAGTAAAAGTGTAGCATTTTTCCCTACATTTACAAGATTATCACATGGACGCGTATCTCCAGAATATCTTTAAAAATGTATAAAATACATATTAAGCAATTTACAAATTAATAATTTTTTCATTTTGCAGAACAAAAGTTTGATTGTAACACTTACACAATCTTCCAACCATCTAAATGTTCAATGCATATTCCATAGGCAAATGGACAATGAATAACTTCTATAGCCTCAAAATTTTTAAGATTTATAGATTCTTTTAAAGATTTTAGACTATAGAATAATTTAAAAAATATTTTGTAAAAAAAATAATCGTATTGAATATTTTAATGATGGTTTTTTTAAGATAAAATATGAATGAATACCTGGTTGAAATTTTTTTAGGTGAAGCATTTTGTTTTTGTGAAAATAAAATATCACGATTATCTATAAACTTTGTTCTAGATAATCCAAAATCTTGAACATCACTATATTCACTAAGCCATTTCCATAATTTTGGTGGTCCAACAATATGAATAAAAGCATTTGAATCTCTTTTTAACTAATCTTGTCAGAATTGATGTAAATTTAATTAATTTATGTGATAAAAAAAAAAAAAATTAGATATATAAGATTAAAGAATTTATTTAATACCTCATTCCATTTTGATAGAATTCCCACTACACCTAAGTGATGATCCGCGTGCATGTGCGATATAAAAATGCATTTCAAACTATCAAAGAATTCTTCTATACTAATTTGTCCTTCACCACGAGATTTACCAAATGGACCAAAAAGCCTTAATAGTGCAGCAAATGTACCCTCTCCAACATCGAGTAGGATACAACCATTGTTTGGTATAGTAAGAAGCGTTGAACTCACTAAAAATGATAAGAATGATTAAACATTTGTTTTATTAAAAGTAAATAAAAAACTATATACAGTATATAAATAATTACCATTTCTATACTTTGCAGGCAGAGTTGAACCGGTACCAAGAGTTGTAACAATAACATCATTCCCGGGGAAGTCTGTTGCTTTTGGAGTTGCTTTAGCAACTTCTTCTCGTACTTGTGTTGCAATATTAAGATATTCGATATTTTCATTTAATTCCTTTACTACTCTTGAATTTTCATCATTATGATCAAATAATTCTGGTAAATCAGAAGCATCAATCTTGAATGAAGGTTCCATATGGAAAGTCAATAATGGGGTAGCTAAATGTGTAGCCTTTGGAATATTAGATACTAAAAAAAAAAAAATTGATAAAAATCTGTTAGTAAAGAGTGTATAAGAGTAAAAAATGATTATAATAATAATTATTACTTGAATCTAATAACTTTTCAGGTTGATTTGAATAATAAGGTATACGGAATCGGTTTTCATCAATCTTGGACAATTTAAATTGACTTTCTGCAATACTATTAAATATTATTCTTTGCGGACAGTATTGTCCATTAATGATAACATGCTGATATAATAATAATAAAAAGCAAAATGAAATTGACATGTGAATATAATAAGCCAAAAAAAAAAATTTTGTGATAAATAAAATTAATAATATTATTACCTCAGTATTTGGGCCAAATTTTTTCATCCATGATTGATATTTCTCATTTTCCAAAACACCATTACCAAGCATATGAATTATGATTCGAGGCTGTAAATCTTTATTATCGGTTTGATATGTGGCAAGCTCTGGAGATGCACATGTTGAAGGTATGTAAGATGTAGAGGGAACATCTAAAACAATAAAGATCTAGAATATATAATATGGATTTTAAATATTTTAATATGTATATATTGACGGGAATTACAAATTTTTTACCGTGCCAGCTCGAGAAGGTCCCAAAACTTGGTTTGGATGAACGATTGTTCCGTCCGGAGCAGTCACAGATTTCCCCTTAACTAAGTCAGCTGATGTGCAAATATAATGTTAAAGGATTAATAAATAAATAAATAAATAAAACATAAATCCAAGAAACAAAAAATAAGTAGTAACCAACCATATTGGGGTCCAGGCCTTAAACCAAGAGCTTTAGCAGCAGCAGGATCAAATTTTCCTTTATATTCAGGACCAATACAAACATAAGCAATAGATATTGGTGAAGGATTTGATTTCGGTAATCTTTTAGGGAATAATTTTCTACGTTGTTGAGCCAAGGAATCTTTATCATCCTTAGGAGATGAAGATTGATCAGTTTGTACTTCGTCTGGAATATCTAATGCAGAATTTTCTTCATACGTTTCATACGTTTTTGGTTTTTTTGACACTGGACCTTTATTATTATGAGGTCGATGGCTTTGATTAAACATTAAAGATAAAATTCCTTTCTTGAATTGTAAAGAAGAATTATCGACAATGTCAGAAGTAAAATCATTAGCTCGTTTGGATGGTAAATTAACATCTTCTTGTGAAGATGAAGAAGAAATACTATTATTGGATTCTTCAGGATTGATAAATATTGGATGTATAGTCAAATTATCATCCTTGAATATCATTCCATCTTCTTGAAATTCATGTGTCTCCACTGACATTGTTGATCTATTTATTAAAAATTATATTAATGAAACTTCATTAAAGATTATTATTGATAAAAATAGTAATATATATTTATCTTAACAATTTTACCTTACAATAAAACCTCTAGTCGCGGTTATCGCATGTGTCAAGTTTGGACCACCATATAATTTAATTTCTTTGGTACCTGCATCGGCAATTGTAAGTAGCATACCTAAGAAAATCAAATAAACATAATGGTTACATAATGGTTTATTAAATAATATTTGTCCGTACAACTAATCTATTTATTAAAAAGTATATATATATTATCATACGGTCATATTGTTACTGCCATATCAAATTTATTGTTTTAAAATTAATAACTTAAAAACAAAATTTCGAGTTTATATCATTCTAGAGTCATGTTGTTTATTTAATATGATCAAATACATTGGTAGTAACAACTACCGGACGATAATAGCGTTATCGTATGCGAGTAAAAAATCGACACGATAATTTGGATATAGATCAGTGGATGAATCAAATATCTTTTAGGTGTTTTGGGGTCGTTATCGCGACTCCAAAACATCCGAAAAATATTTGATCCATCCACTGTATGCTATCGTACCAATATTTTTTTTAACCACTATACGACAATTTATAATTATTTATATAAATATTATTTAAATACCTGGAAGTCCACCGAAACAATCCCAGTTAACTCTAGTCAAAAAGACATTTTTTAATTTGGAAACTTTTAATTTATTTTGTAAGCAAAACCTTTGAGTTCCTTCACCACAATTAAATAAATATCTTTGACTATTATGTTGGCCATCAAAATGTACCATTATTGAAGGTGGTACATCAAAAGTTCCACTACCAATTAATTGTATATAAGATTTCATATTTGTAGTTTGTGTAGTAGAGAAATGATTCAAAAAGATTTTTTGAAAGGTGAATGAGATGCGAATGTTTAAAGGACGTTGATAGATCACGAGAGGAGCTGACTTATGAACAAGTCGTCTTATCGGGGAGCCAATGATGGAAGACAATTTTGTTAACTGTTATGAGGAAAAAGAAAAAATTCTTGATAGTGATAAGGAAAATCATTCGATCTTAAATTTTTACAAGTGATACAAGGCGCAGTTAATTTTCTACAATTAGCCAATTAACCATGTGTAGATCCATGTAACATAAGATAAGGCGCAGTTAATTTTCTACAATTAGCCAATTAACCATGTGTAGATCCATGTAACATAAGATAAGGCGCAGTTAACAACCACGCCATGTGCACATCTCATGTAACACAAGTTTCCGAAGCCGACAAAGTTGGTATTACGATTTTTCGGACGATTCGATTTTGTGATTTCGGGACATCTGGTAACCGAATGATTGTTTGGCCGACTCGATAAGTTTATGATTTTGACATTTTCAAAGTAAATTTAGTTGCTATTACTTCAGATAAGTTGGATATTTAAGTTTCAACTGTAGTTACTCAGATGAGTTAGAAATTTTTAAAATGTTTATTATAGACTTACTATAGACGAACAATCCTTAGTTGTTAGATTAACCGGTTCAATAATTTCATCTGCTTTAATTTTGTTGATTATAATTCTCATTGCAGCTGCGATAATTACTAATAAAATCTTGGCTGTTTGGAATTTCCTAGTCCAGTCAATAAATTTGTTCAGACTTTTTTTTTTAATAACGTCTGATTATGTAATATATTTATTATGATTACGTATTCGGAGCTTTTTTATATCTTGCATTAGGCAATAACATAAATTTCGTATAGGCCAAACACACGCATTCAAGCGAAAACTTTTGATTTTAAATGCGTTGACATCGTATATTGAAAAATATATATATACTATCATGCCCAAATCACTGCCGAATCAAAACTTATCGAAGCGGCCAAATATGTTTGGTGTGTTTAGTCTGTACAAAATTATGAAAAAGACCAACCAATAAGAAATATAAAAAAGGCTCCGGATATAAAATAACTTTTTATAATAAACATATTACACGAATATATGCTAATATTAAATACGATCAAGAATTTGTCGACTGGTTTAAAAATGTAACAAGTTGAGATTCCAAAAAAAATCAAGAATTTGTCAAAAAAAAAAAAAAAAAAACTTTTTTTCCTAAAAGTAATGGTTTAAGAACATCTATCACAGTCTTACTATTCAGAATTTTATTACCGTTACCCAAACTTATGGTATCCCTGTAAACGAATAAAAGTTAATAAATCTATATTGATTAATAACCTATACTCTTCTAATACGTAGTATTGAAAAATAACTTAGGTCGATTTTTAATTTAACCATTAAGCTTATTATAATTAAAGTTCGCTCCTTAGTTATAAGAAAAAATCTAAACTTCATTAAAATTTTCATATCAACTTTACGTTCAAAGACAAAACAGCTCGTTAAAATTGCTTAAGTTTACAAAAAAAAACAATTTTTATTGTTTATTTTCGTAAGGAAACCTTTTTCTTAGTTCTTTATATTATATTTAACGTATGTCCATTATCATAAAGAAAAAATTAAAATTACAATTAACTTATCGATTATAGAAAATTGCTACATTTTTTTGTAATGAACTATTATATAATTTGAAAAGTTTTGAGCCTATCCAGATATCGTTATAGAGAGATTCGTTATATAGAATCGACTGTATAAAAAAATATTATTGAATAAATTATTAAGTTCGTTAAATAGTCTTTTTTTTTTAAAAAAAGAATTTGTTTCATTAAATAAAACATATAAATCTGTTAAATCTCATTAAAATAATCTTTATGAATATCTAGAGGTCTGACTCGGTCAAAATAATGGAGATTCGAATATTCATTTGATATCTGAAAGTTCAGCAAGAAATTTGAATAAATATCTGATACACATAATTGATATTCAATGCAGGGCTCAACCCACTATATTAATTCGAAAGTATACAGTACTATACTTGATTTATAGTAGATAGTAATTGACCGATATAGTGAACAATTACATACTAAATTTCGATGAATCAAAAAGAACACTTTAAACAATAGCAATGGCGCAATAAATGGCCAGCAAATTAATATAGTGAGTTAAGCCCTGATTCGATGGTATTCGGTGAAATTTAATGTACAAACTTTGAAGACTTTTTATTTTTAACTTGATCAAAATTTCTTGCATTATACATTTTACACTATATTATGACATTCATAACCATTGCTTTTTTTTGCATAAGTTAAATTAGGTTACTTTTAAATTTAAACTTTAACAATTTTGTTTTCTCTATGTGCTACGTAAAAGATAAAGCATGTAGAATATCTAGGCATATTTTAATTCAAAAAAAAATAGGCATTTATTAAAACTATAACTCTTAAAATAAAAACATTTTTAGCTAAAAAATTGTACTATTACGAACTTTAATTTTTTATCATCGAATATAATCGGTGAATAATAAATATATTCGAATATGATTATGTATTCGAACATTCGAATATTCATTGAATATTCAACGAGTCAGGCCTCTATGAACACAATAAAAGAATAGACGATTTACCGCTTGATAAGTCATTAATTATTATTTTAGTTTAATTAAAAGTTAAGATATCAGCAGCAGCAGAATACTCCAGGCATAATAAAAATTTAGTAATATTTAAATATATTTTATTAACGCTCCGAACCTCAACAGTTCCTGTTTCTTAGTAACACTACCGGATCTTACTGTATGTCAAGTTATTATAACAAGTAAAATTAAATTCAATAGGGATGCCGATAGACATTCCTATTGCTATCAAATTTTGGCTCCAAAAGAAGGTAAATAGGATATCAATAGTAAATATTATCAATGATATCAGTCTTTATTGACAATATAATTCCTATTGATGTCTTATTGATAATATTATTCCCGATTGATATCCTATTGAATCTATTGGTGCCCATTACATCACTATTGAACTTAATTTTACTTGTGTTCGGGAAAATCGCTTTGGAATATCGTGTACATCTGTACTGTACATCTGTACATTATAACTTTACAATACCGCAGTACGGTGTGTACTGGCACATGATTTTGCTCCATGATTTGGCCATTATCGTTATCGTTATTACTAGATATATATATCTATAATCCTATTAAAGTTTTGCCAACATTATTCATATGACCCAAGTTACCTAACGCTAATCGGCTTCATTCATGGCGAGAGTCGATAATTTTCTGCGGAATATTTCTTTATTTTTATATCGCCCCATGATTTTTGTGACGATCGAGGAAAATTTCAGAAATTCTAAATTGTCTATCAATTCATATTTTTGATCAGCTATATTTATATTTATTTATTTGGAATTAGTAAGATTCTTAAAATCTACAGTATTTCCGATTTTCAACCGACTTTGTGATTTGCAAAGCAATAAAAATAAACAAATATCTCAGAAAATCATCTTCAACCCTGATTTAGAGATTTACCCGGGTAGAAAATGTTATTATGTGGCTATAATAAAGTTATCCGATTAACCGGATATATAATTTATTAATACTCAGGTACAGTACCATGGTATTTTTACTAACTAATATACGTATACCTGCAACTAATCAAATGCTAACTCTAATCCTGGCCTGTAGGGATGCTACCATAGCATATAGATGAATTGAGACTAGGTAAATTGTATGAACTTATTTGATTGCTTTATACCTATATACGTACGTACTCTTAACTTAAAAAGAAAAGCAAATATATAGTATGAATATCGATATTAACCAATTTTTTTACATACTAATACGTACGTATAAATAAACATGACCAGTTATGAGATTTAAAAGGAAAAAAAGACGGTTAAATTACGGAATTAAAAAGGAAAGGGATCGGTTAAATTATTATCTTAGAAGGAAAATTTGTCATTATCAGCCACTACAAACACTATTTTTACGTGTAATCTGTAGATCTTCATCCTTAATTAACGCTTGGCCACTATGATAATCTGCAAACCTAAGGTTTAAACAGTAAATAACCTTTACCCTTTAAAAACTATACCGCTTACAGGTTTGTACGATAGCATAAAAGGGAAAGTATTTATTATTTTTCGTCTTACGTAAAATATAAAATAATTGATAAATAAATGCACGACATCTTAATGTGAAGCTAATTTTATTATATATATCGTTTTTTTTAGCATTTTATAACTATGGTTATGTATAATTATTATGTGAACTGAAGGTAATTCGCTAGTCTATAATACAAAGTAATGTTGTATCACATGTTTAAAAAATTTCTCTATCTCACGTGCACAATGTAACAGCATGTACCCAGTATTGGTTACAATTTGTATATACACGGCTTACACGACATAATAACACAATAACATTAATCGCGCTTTTATTTTAAATTACTAGTTACACATACAATTGCTATTCTATAAATAGAACTACTAACCAGTATATACTATATAAGAAACACTTATGTACCAATCATGTAAATCTATACATATTATTCAGTCATTTGATTTCTAATCCTTATAAATTGTCCCTCGGGATCTACGTGGCAAAAAAAATCTTTACTCATTCCAATCCTGTGGTTCTGTTAGCGTATTCTCAGCATAAAAGCGATCATTTAATCAAATATTTAAACCTTAAAGTTTGCCAATTTTTGGCTTATTTTTAATTTGTTATTTTTTTTTTAAATTATCATCGAATTATCATCGAATCATTAGTCGTTCTTAATTATAATAGGATCGTTTTTTATGCTTGAAAAATTATATTTACCATATTAAAAAAATTCAACAGAGCAAACTTATAAATTTAATTGATTTAAATATTTACTTTTGCAATTATCTGTTAATTTTTCTATAATAAATCTAAATACGCACATAGATATATAGTATGGTAAAACATAATACACAGGTTTGTATCATATCTGAAGTTAAATATCGGACTTTTCGCTGTTTAAATTCACAGTCTTTTTTAAAACTATATTATTTATTATTATTAATAGGTTGGCGATATGATTACGATTGAAAAACACGTTTCATCCACTCTTTCACCTCTTAATGACTCCAACGAAACCTTTAAAACTACAACTTCAATAACAACTACTATTATAACCAAGAGTTATTCCGATGATGATTTAAATAGATTACCAAAAAAAATAGCAAAACGTATAGAAACTTTTAAACCACGTAGTTCACAACTTGATAGAGAACAACTAGAATCTGCTCAAGATCCATTTCGTGGTTTTTTTACTCTTTTTTGGATGGCAATGGCTTTTTTTGTAATACAAACTTGGGCAAAAAATTTTCAAGCGGCTGGAATTTTATTTGATTTATCTTTCTTTAGATTATTTTCTCAAGATGCTATAGGATTAATGATTAGTGATTTTGTTATGGTTGGATCTATGTTTTTTTCTGTTATATTACAAAAGTTGATTGCAATGGGTTGGATACGTTGGAGATATACTGGCATGATTATTCAACATATATTTCAGATCTCATTCTTGTTTATACCTATTTATTGGACTTTTGTAAGGTAATTATCTTTTTTGTAAATGCGTTTTGTAAATACGTTTGTAAATGCGTTTGTAAATGCGGTTTGTAAATACGTTTTGTAAATACGTTTGTAAATGCGTTTCATAAATGCGTTTAGTAAATGCGTTCGTAAATGCGTTTAGTAAATGCGTTTGTAAATGCGTTCAGTAAATGCGTTCGTAAATGTGTTTAGTAAATGCGTTCGTAAATGCATTTCATAAATGCGTTTAGTAAATGCGTTTAGTAAATGCGAGCATAAATGCATAAATGTAAATCTATAAGATTTGTTTATTAAATATATATATATATATATTTTTATGTAGAAACTGGCCATGGGTACAAAGCGGATTCTTTGTTCTTCATACAATTTCAATGTTAATGAAATTACATTCATACGCCTTTTATAATGGTGAACTATCTGTTTGGTCACTTTGTCTATCCGACCTGAAAAAAGAATATTCAGATCTACTTGGTGAATTAAAAAAATCCGATAATGCTACAGAAAATCAAGATCGTTTAAATGAATTAAAAGAAAAAATTGGCCAAGTCGAAGGATATCTTGCTAGTCCTGCAAAAAATATTAGTTATCCAAATAATGTAACTTTTATGAACTTTGTGGATTTTTTATTGGTACCTACTTTAGTTTATGAATTAGAGTATCCAAGGACTGAAAAGTATGTTCTTTTTTTTTATTCATTTAATAAAATTTTTTTTTTTCGTTGCATTAAATTTTTTTCTTATTTTACGATAAATTAGAATTCGTCCTTGGTATGTTTTCGAAAAAATAGTAGCGACATTTGGCACATTCTTTTTGTTATATGTCAATACTGAAGCATATATAATCCCTGTATTACCAAACGTTTCATCTTCGTTTCATAACTCTATTTTACAAATGTTATTTCCTTTCATGGTTAATTATCTATTAATATTTTATATTATCTTTGAATGTATTTGTAATGTTTTTGCCGAGTTGACAAGGTATTATTATTTTTATTCTACTTTATTTACATCTTTATTAAGTATCGTATTAATACTTTTTTTTTTTTCTCGTAGATTCGCTGATCGTAATTTTTATGATGATTGGTGGAACAGGTACTGTATTTATAATCCATCCTATATACGTACAATCTTAACGATAATTTTAAATGAATTACCTAACTTTTTTTTAATTAAAATAGTACAACATGGGAAGAATTTGCTCGAAAATGGAACAAACCAGTACATCATTTCCTATTACGTCATGTATACCAATATTCCATAGAATCATATAAATTATCAAGGCGTGATGCAACATTTATGACTTTCTTCTTATCTAGTTTAATTCATGAATTAGTGATGGTAGTTGTATCAAAAAAGATTCGAATGTATTTATTTTTCTTACAAATGTTTCAATTACCATTAATTGCATTAAGTAGATTACCAATTATGAAAGAAAGGAAATGGCTTGGGAACGCTTTCTTTTGGTTTGGTTTGTTTTTAGGTCCACCTATGTTGGCTATATTGTATTGTAGAGAAGTTTTTTTATCTTAAATGTTTGTTAGTATGAATATGGGTTATGGGTTATATTGTATTTTAGGATATATTTTTTTTTTTGGATATTACGTGTTTTCATTATTTATTTAGACAAACATTTTTATAGATGAGTTATGATTAGATTGTGTAATAATAATTATATTTATAATGTTGTAGCATATTGGTATATCTATGTCATTATAAAAATTTTTGTCACTTTATGTAATGTGTCAATTCTTATCGTTATACTGATGATCAATAGTTCGTATTATTATTATTATTATTATTATTTTGTTTTCTTAATGCACAATCTATGATCGCGGATTTTATTCTATTATGATATATCGTAATAGGGATGCGCCGAGGTGGTGTGGTGTACATTTCGGCATAGTATCCTTTAACACCACACCACACTGGAGTATACACCTACAAAGTAAACTCTGTAATATCACTTTGAAGTATTAAGTTAGGTATAACTCAAAGTTAATGCACGGCAAAAACTTGATTTTCATCAAGTTTTTAATCTATCAATTTACAGAATTGGCATTAAATACAATTTTATTTTTAGTAAATATATCAATCTAACAGGCATCTAGACTTCGTGATAACTTATCATGAAGTTTAAAGTCAGATCGATAGATTCAAAAAGAATCAAGCTTTTGTTTGATTTTGTCGAGCACCACTCAAAGTATTAAACCGAAGTATACTTCAAAGTATAATACAGAATATAACCCCGGTGTACTATATATATAATTAACACTAACCAATTAATAATCATGTTTTTTTTATAAGTCAGTAAAAGAAAAGAAGCAAATAAATACCAGTGCACAGTTTAATCCCAGTAATTACATGATATAACATTAATAAATTAATTAAAGTTTATAAATACAATCATCCTCCTCTATAATCACCCGGTTTGTTGTACGTACGTAGCAAAAATAATATAGTCACAATAATAAATAAAATATTTATACATTTTTAAAATTTTCCCTAAAGGATTAGTCGAAGTACCTACGTTCCTTGAAACAAACTTACTGTAGAAGTTTCTACGAGCTAAACGGTATTAAGAGCGTAAGAAACAAACATCTCCTTATTAAATATAATACCACACTCTTGAACATGGGCAATTATTTTGTCTACTTTCGACGCATTCTTTCCAAGTCTGCAAGTTCGTGACACAAAAACGGTTCACTAGACGCGTCTAAACGGTAAAATGCATCCTTAAAAGGCTGGTATTATTAAAGTAACGAAGAAAATCAAGGAAAGCCCGTTTCATAGTAGGTAGATTTGACGTAACTAATATATTTTTAAGCTATCCAATTTCGTCAATACTTACCATCTTGCCATTTTTTTAATATCAATCAGATAATTTAGAATTTTGACATGAAAACTCAATTTTTTTTTATTTAGGGTGGTTTTTTTTTTTTTTTAATATGACTTTGAGCGATAAAAATCGATGCAATAAATTGAAGTGGTTCTTATTAGTAATATATATATATATATTTATCTAAGATTCTTGGACATGAAATACGAATTTTATATTTAGTTAGAGTAATTGAATCTGCGTCTTTAATTTTTTTATAGTCTATTGAGCAAGACGAGAATTATTATTTTAATTACATTATATTCGTATTTTTAGACTATGTATTGTATTTAAGATTTCAAGAGTAAAAAGTTAACTTCATCCATAGTAACCTGTTCAAATTTTAATACCGTATTTGCGCGTAATAACGCGTAGGTGCGCGTTATTTCGTGACGCGCATGCGCGTAATTCGAATCATTTTTACAAATTTGGGTTACAAGAAGAAGTCCTACTTTTATTAATGAACTTATTTTGAGTCAAAATAAACCAAATTTTTAAAAAAAATGAGAGTTTCGAAATAACGTTATTACGCGCAAATACGGTAATGGTTTCTTTAGTAAATAATTTCATTAAATTTTGCATGATTTTAAACCCTGACAAAATTTACTTAAAACAAAAATTCGTACCTTGTAAAGTAGCTTGTAGCCTTTTTAAACGTTTCAGTAGTTTGTAATTTTCAGGCAGTTTATAAAAAACGAAATAGAAAGTAAATACTATATGTAAAAAATAAATAAAAAGCCAACCTTAAGGGCCGCATTCTTTTCAGATCTATTACTTATCTCGCTTAAATTATAGAAATAAGAAGTACTAGTGTTGATAAACTATTGTACTTTGTCTCGTGAATGTGGTTTCCTTTAAGAAATCTCTGAAAAATGATGTTAACTAAGTATAAAAAAAAATTTTATCTCATAAACAAAAAACCATCAATTTTTTAAATACTACATAAACTAAAAAACTTGCAACTTTCTAAATACTGCGCTCAACTAAAAGCTTCAATTTTTAATTACTACACTCAACTGTTCCGTTTATGATTATCATAGTCAATTAAAAATAACGCTGTTTTAAATACTGGGCTCAATTAAACAAAAGCTGATTTATTCATCGTTAATTAAAAACACTTGCTTTAAACAAAATTTAAGAGTGCATCAGTAGTTTATATTGAAATAAAAAAAAATTATCTATTGACAAAAAATCTACACATAAGCTCAACTTTAAATTCAAACGTTTTACTGTTCGAATGTAATTTTTTTCGGATCCATACAAGAAAATAATAAAAATTTTTTTCTTAAAGACGAATGTATTTATTTTAGATTTTAATGTCATCTTACACTTTAACATACTATTAAGAACGCTGTTTAGTTTACTTACATTTTAACATACTACTAAAAAAAATAATTTATTTCGCATTTTAACATACTATTAATCGTTATGCGATTTAGTGCGATTTGGTTTAATCACACTAAATCACATAATTTCCGTATCCCTGGGTCTACATACTATTGCGGGTTTATCGGACCAATCGGCTCTGAATAGAGTCACTAAATTTGGTTCAAACCCTTGTTTAATTTTTTAATTTTTTGATTGGTCTGAGGTTTGTTTGTTCTGCACATTATGCAAGAAGGATATATAACGAATATACATCAAACCCATTAGATTATCTTAAAGCCCATTAGATTATCGTCTAATTATTAATCTGGGCCTACCAATACATGCTGTTTGACTCTGCTATTGTTATGAGTAAATGCTCAAAATAAACCTTCCGCCTCAGTCTTTCAGACAATTGTAAAATCCAGTGGCTCTGGTGTCGATCACTAAAATTTCATATTAAAAAATTTACCCGTGATCTGTCGGGTGACTGTTAGCTAGGGTCAGAGCCAGTGGATTTTAGTAGCATCTAAAATAGCGCTATTTTTTAGCAAAATAGCTAGCAACATTGTTTGTGC